AAACATGTGAGCTACAATAGGGACATGTGATCTACAATAGAGGCATGTGAGCTACAATAGAGGCATGTAAGCTACAATAGGGACATGTGAGCTATAGAGACATGTGAGCTACAATAGAGGCATGTTAGCTAAAATAGAGGGATGTGAGCTACAATAGGGACATGTGAGCTATAGAGACATGTGAGCTACAATAGAGACATGTAAGCTACAATAGAGGCATGTGAGCTACATGTACATGTGATCTATAGAGACATGTGAGCTACAATAGAGGCATGCGAGTTACAATAGAGGCATGCGAGCTACAATAGAGGCATGTAAGCTACAATAGAGGTATGTAAGCTACATGAACATGTGATATATAGACATGTGAGCTACAATAGAGGCATGTGAGCTACATGAACATGTGATCTATAGAGACATGTGAGCTATAATAGAGGCATGTGAGCTACAATAGGGACATGTGAGCTATAGAGACATGTGAGCTACAATTGAGGAATGTGAGCTACAATAGAGACGTGTGAGCTATAGAGACATGTTAGCTACATGAACATGTGATATATAGAGACATGTGAGCTTCAATAGAGACATATGTGAGCTACAATAGGGACATGTGAGCTATGACTGGAGCTACAACAAGACCTTTAAGCTACAACAGGGATTTTGAGATGAAAAAAGACTATACGGCGCAATAACAGAAACAAATACTATATAAATATAGACAAATCTCACCCACATTTAAAGCGGGGGAGTCGTCACCTGCGCATGCATCAGATGGCCATAGCGTGTCATTGTTTACAAACAAGCGTCTACCAATGAGCCTGAACTCACCGTGATGGTAGTTCTTTCTCAAATATCTGAATCATAGCTTTCCATCTCGCATTATTTCGACGATGACGTAAGTTATGTGATTTGAAAATATAATAATGTATTTAATACATCAACTATGCCATACGGGCATATACCATTACAATACACACTCGCCTCCAATCTCGCACATGCTTCAACCGGTAAAAATTATAGTTTGGTTATTTTATCTGTTTCGCATCGTCTTCGCGGTTTGAATGGATCCAGCGTACTCGTGTAAGCACGACCACCAATACCTTCTAAAGTAGAACGACTTTTATTTCTCCAAGTAATTTGAAGTTGATAGATATTCAGTGGCGCTAACTGCATTTGACCAAAGGCAATGTCCCGCGATTCTACTTTAGTTCACTGCCTGCCTATAATCGAGTGTTGTTCTAGTTGGCTGTCTCATCAATCTAGTGACCTCGTGACATGACGTATGTTTACGCGAGATTCAAATTTTTTTTCGATCGTGACACTGAAGATGACACGAACGTATAATTTTAATCGCCCTGCATTTAAGATATTTCGCGATGCAGTCGACGAAGCAGCTGGAATTTGTAGGAGTTTGTCTTGTTATTGAGCAGTATGCTATCCCGATATACAGTTTGATGACGAGAAGAAATACCTCGCAAATACAGTTGTGCGCATGTGCAAACTGAACGGGCTCGTAAATCGGGGGAAAACTGAAGTGCTGACAAGCTGTATGTATACATTTACATTTTATTTTTATTTTGGTTAGTGTAAATGTATCGTCATGTTGAGAAGAAATCGAACTGTGTCGTGTCCATCTGCATTCGGAGAAAATGAAACGGAGTGCAGCAGCGACGAAAGGCATATATCTTTCCCTATCCAAGTGAAGTTTTTGTCTGCAGTGCAAGATAAAGACTCTTCTGAACTGTCCAGGATCTTAAGTCAACATCTGCACGAAATTGATGTGAACAAGAAAAACCACATGGGTGTTACAGCGCTGCATCAGAGTGTTGTTAACAAGAATTTAGATGGCGTTAAGTTGTTATTGACTAACGGGGCGAACGTAAATTGCCAAGACGTTAACGGACACACTCCTCTGCACACAGCGTCCGAGCACGGCTGCTCGAACATTGCCAGCATGCTCATTGTTTTCGGCGCTGATTTGTTTCAAACGACTATAGAAGGGGAATTGGCTGTTGATGTGGCTAAAAACTCAATCATAGCTGATTTAATTGCCGTGGAGATGTGCTCTCAAATACAAAACCAGGTACTCAACGACAAATACCGACTGTTATTCCAGCTTATACAGATTTGGGGGTACATAAAAGAGCGACTCGTCGAGTGGCACGGGGCACTTCTTCGCCTTGTATTACGAGGAGTGAACCGTGCTCTGACAGGTATGAATTTGAACACTTTCTCTCTGCGGGAAGTTCTCGCCGATACTTGATTATGCGAAGTGCAGTTACCATGGAAACGAAGATTGACACAATCAACTGCTTCAATGGCCGTCGAAATTCAAGTTCGTCTTTCAGCTTTTGCCTGTCTTTCAGGGAGTCAGTTACTTCCTGACGTTACTGAGAATGATAATATATTTTATATATTTCTTAAAGTTTCCAGGGGGGGACATCGGATACACAAGAGCACAGCATAACTGGACCTATTAAACTGTCGCAACTATGGTAATACATATAAGATATATGTGTACATATTGATCTCATTCATTGCAATTGAAATATACATGACATGTCTAATTAATAAGACATCTGTCTAATTTACATCCCTATTGTGTAGTTTTAATGAAAACTGGTATTTTCACACTTCACCGCACGGTGCCTTCATAACACCCTCAGTGCGTGCGAACGTAGTTAACATTTTGTTTTTGTTATTGGTATTCTCCAACCTAAAAAATGAAATAACAAACACTGTATTAATTAGTTAGTAATTTTGGATACTATGATATATCTGTAAAATAACAACAGTCAGACTGTTATCCAACTAATTGACCTTTGAAATAAAGAGGTCACAAGTTGAGAAATATTTCAGTACTCATAATAATACTGACTGTACTGACCCGGCCTATTTAGAAACACAGCAGTGGAAACATTATTTTCAACAGCAGCGGTACTTGAACCCGGTACTTTTTAGCATCATGTTAATGGCGTGTAGTGGTGATTTGCGATTGTGTTTGTTCCGCTATGGTCAATGAAATGTGTTTAATGTGTAATTACCATGGTTTACAACCGGAATACACTGTGCAAATAGCCAAATACCAATTGAACATTAAAAATACGATATGTAACGTCGTCTCCAGGATAATACTGACCTATATAGAAATGATACGGATATATGTCCTAAGAAAACAGATACTTTGATTCCTGTCTGGCTATTTGTGTGTAGTACAAGGCATCCTAGTGCGCACCGCCAACCTGATAAAATTATAATTTCGACTGGGGGCACATCCTTGTAAAGAACATTGAATTATGTGATTGCCCCAGCAACGGTCGTTGCTATGGGATTAATTCTCCAACAGGATCAAAACATATATCAGTGTTGTCAAGAACATTGAATTACTGGTCTACTAGCAGCAGTCATGACTATATTTGTGAAACCGTATAGGGCATACACTTCTTTCTTTGAACGGCGATAAGAACATTGAATTGCGGGCCCTAACAACGGTCATATCTGTCCTACAGTTACATGGTACAATATGGCAAGGCACCATTTCGACACGGTTCACGTGACCTGGGGTAGGTCTTTATCGCTGTTGGGCATGATGGATAAAAAAAAAACTTCGAAAGAATGCGTGATATCATATATATATATATTAGGATTTATTTGCGTCACGAACTTAGTGATCTAAGAGAGCTATGGCGTGATGAGTGATATTATCACTCAGTATCGTTAACCAAACACACAGCCGAGTGAGGCACAATCTCGTGGAGACGAAACAAATAAATAATCAGTGTATTGATTAATTCATACGCACAAAGATTCAGTAGATCGATAGTTTTAATAATGGAACTGTATTAAAAAGACGAACATGAAATATGCGCTAATCTGTTACCCACGCCACTAGTTCGTCTTTCCGCCTCGGGGACACGCTGACTGCGTGTTGATGCTTCCCACACACAATCACATTTCCATTATGTCATCGCACAGGTTAACTAGAGTGTGACCGAAATCAGTGTACTTAATTAACTTTCCAGTTTCATTTAGCACAAACTGAATGTGTTGATGAATAATCTGTACTTTTGTCAGAATCGGCAACACATTATTTTAAGGTAGAGATGCAGTTTATCTGACAGGTATTTTAAATAGTTAATTAGGAAACCAAAATGACCTCCCTTGTCCACAAAACTATATATTTTCGGAAAGCTTATTGTATGAATTTTAAAATGTTGTTAGTATTTTTCATGGATACTGTAGTTTGAAATATGCACAAAAATGTGCTTTCTTGGTCAAAAGTGATTTTAAAAAAATTAGCTTCGAAACCATGCTTCTGTTTTCTGTCAAAATTGGTTTATGGGTACATCTGTTTACTACGAAAAGGTGCCGTCTTGAAAACTGTCTACCAGTTGTCAATTTTGTAGGGCAGCAGCTCAAATTTCACTACTTCAAGTTTATGCATAAATTAATACCTAGGCTAGTTGTCTGTACGATTGTTGTAACACTGTTCAAAAGATCAAAGCGTCTAGGAGCTATTTTTTTTTAAAGTTCTGGGATGTGCACTAAAAAAAGCTGAGATAATTGCTAATTTGCATAACAATTCACTCAGTGAGAAGTTTGCTAACGCTCATAAGTAAAATGGCTGTAACAGTTCCAAATTTAAATGTATTATCGGTTTGTAAAAAATAAATATAGTGCATAATATGGAGATCCCGTCATTTCGTTTTTTTACAATGTTCCTTTTTTATTATTTATGTACAGCCTTGCTGAATCTTGCTAAGCATTCAAAAGAGAGAATGTTTGCACCTGTTATCTATATTTTAAAATCGTTTTTTGAGTATGTTCTACTATTCACAATTCTACAAAATTTCAACAGTCTATAGCCAAGACTGTTTGGATAATAAAAAGAAGAAAACATCACTCCCAAGTGCCCACGAACCTGCATCTCTACCTCAAGTAATAAAGTGAACACAAACCAAATGAACAATTCATTGTGGCTGGTTTTAAATTTAGCAGTTTATGCAAAATAAAATGTTATGCATATGTTTACAGTGTCTATAGTTCGCACATCGCACAAATTAGTTCCCTCTTGAATACTGTACTTAATAATATGAAAAGAACATGGCTAAAACGATTTTGGTGTCGTGCTTGTGTTGTTTCTTTACATGGCACGACGCTGTTGAGCTGAGAGAAAAAAGAAACAGTCACAAGTCTGAGCATGGAGCATTTTGTAATTTGTAAACTGTCGTGATATGTGTAACAGTTGTCAATCTAAACCTAGTAGGAGCACGTCGCCGTATCATGACCGCTTCTACGATTTTTATCTTTGATGTCTTTAATGTTGTACTGTTAATAAGCTATAGTTCGCAATGCAAAGTCTAAATACTACTCGAACATAATTAAAGGTAACTCCACGGATCTGAAAGCACTGTTTAGGTTCACATCAAATTTCACCAGTAATAAATCATCATCTACTACTAGTCAACTGACAGAGACATTTAGCAACTTCTTTGTCGACAAAATCACCAATATTTGCAACAGCTTGGATGCCAACAATCATGACACAAATCTGCCGATCTGTTCTTTAAACCCTACATCAGCAACACTCTGTAACTTCACGTCCACGACCACAGATGAAATCAACAAAATAATCACAGAAGCGCCATCCAAGTTTGGCTGCCTTAATCCAATTCCAACACATCTACTTAAGAAGGTTAAAATCCAGCTCATACCTTGGATCATCATTGTTACCAACCTCTCCCTTCTGCATGGAATCGTTCCAACCTCTTTCAAGTTAGCAGTTGCTACACCTCTACTTAAAAAAAATCCCTTGATCAGGAAATTCTCAAGAACTACAGACCTATATCAAATTAACCATTCATCTCCAAAGTGCTTGAAAAAGTTGTAGCCTTCAGATTAAACGACTACCTCACCAAGAACACTCTTCTCGAACCACTGCAATCGGCTTACACAAAGTATCACAGTACTGAGACAGCACTTGTCAAAGTCCATAGTGACATCTTAAATTCTCTCGACTCTGGCCATTATGTCATTTTAATACTGTTAGACTTATCTGCGGCCTTCGACACTATCGACCATCGTATATTGCTGACACGACTAACCAACCCGGGCATACAAAATCTAGCATGGACATGGCTCTCATCATACATAACGGACAGGCATCAATCTACTTTCATTAACAACCACTCATCACAACAAGTTAAGCTTTATTATGGGGTTCCCCGAGGGTCGGTACTGAAACCTGTTCTAAATTAGTATGTTCCATTCTTGTTGCTAAATTCGACTATTGCAATGCCTTACTATATGGCTTACCCGACACACAAATACATCTACATCAAAGGGTACAGAATTGTGCTGCTCGTCTCATCACACATTCAAAGAAGTTCAATCATATTACCCATGTTCTACATCAACTACATTGACTCCCAGTTATTTACAGCATTCAATTCAAGATCCTACTACTTACATGCAAGGCACTTCATGGATTAACACCAACCTACATATCAGACCTGATTCAACTCCGTCAACCTAGTAGAACTCTTCGTTCAAGTAATACATCTACACTTACAGTGCCCAGAACAAGACTCAAGACAAATGGCGATCGCTCATTCTCACATGTTTCTCCGTCATTATGGAATCAGTTACCAACAGACATTCGTTCTGCAGCCAGTTTAAACATTTTCAAATCTAAACTCAAAACTTATATGTTTCAGAGAGCATTTCTATGAACTGACAGCGTAATTGGGCATCATCATGGTGGATATTAGGCGCTATACAAACTCTTAATTATTATGATTTATTAAAAAGTTTCTTCAATTTCCTTTGGATCTGTTCAGTCGTTCTTTCAAGTTTTTGTCATATAATTTCGTACGCCATTTTTCTGTTCACCGTTGAGATATCAATCTATCACAGTAATTCTTTACTTTTCCAAATAGATATTAGGGCGCATACCTCTTCGTCAAGCCGGGAATTGCGTTAAATTACGAACGTCGTCCCCGCCATAATTGAAATGAGAGGTAACTTGAAGAAGACGATTGAGGGCGTGATTTGGGCTACGATAGTTGGGCCCCGATGCGTATACACGGTCGGGGACATGTCGGAGCTCAACCCTATCGGAGTTCAACCCGAAGGTTTATTGGAGCCGAACTTGGCTCGAGCCGAACGCGTATACACGGCCATTTCTCCTGTTAATCGATGGGAGGAACAGTAGTTTGTCTCAGATGGAATGCTGCCTCGTGACTGTTTCTTTTTTTCTCCCAG